GACGGGGACCCCCGGGCGGCGGCGGGCCGGCTCTGCCCCCTCCCGGCCGCTGCTGCTTGTCCCGCCTTTGCTTTCACTGTGCTCTTCCAGAGAAAAGAAAAGACAAAACCAAAAGGAAGCCCCAAGTAAAAGCAATGAACCCAGTTCCCGCCAAGCAGCGCCCTTCGCCCCCACGTTGCCCACAGGCTGAAGGACCTCAGGGAGGATAATCCATTGCCTGGCCCCGAAGCAGGAGTGGGGAGGGGAAGCGTGAAGACGCTGACGGCAAGAGGATGCGGAGGGGCGAGCCGGGTCAAAACTCGGGGACGGGAGCGGCCCCAGCACAAATGCCTCCCATTTCCCACAGCACCTCGGGGAGTGCCAGCCGTTACATTTAGCTGAATTTAGGCAGCTCTTTCCAGAGCAGAACGTGACAAAGTCTCATTTCTTCCTCGCTCCCGGGGCTGATTTCACTTCCCCGTGCCGGGTTTAGCCAGTGAGCTGGGTGGAGGCAGCGCTGGGGACCCTGAGTGTTTCAGGGCTCTGCGAAGGGGGCTCCCAGGCTGACACGAGCTCCAACGCGTGTCTCTTGTCCCGCTTTTCTCTGGAACGGGAGAGGATCCTTCCGTCGCGGTCCCGGCGGGGAGGAGGTGCCGCAGGCCGCGAGCAGCTCCCCGCACGCGGGCGGCCGCAGCCCCTTCCTCGCTCCTCCCAGAACACAGCTTCCTCCTATAGCAAAATGGCCATGGGGACCCGGCCCCCTTGGGACGGGCTCCGAGTGCGGAGCAACATCCTGCTCTCCAAACACTGCTGTTCCCTCTGCCCCGGGTGTTGCACTGATCTGTAACAGAACGAGGGCACCCACTGGTAAAGGAAAAGCCATGGGCACGCGGCAATAGTGTTCTGGCAACACGAGGAAAACTCTGAGGAAAGGGAGTTTCTCAGCTGCTTCAGGGCCTGCTTGGAAAAATACATCCCAAATCAAGTACAGGCTTAGAACTCAGCTAAACATGCTGCTAACGTCCCTTAAACTGTTGCATTTCCTACTGTGTCTACAGAATGATTATCTCAGCTGATAAGCAGCAGCTTTGCACGGTCAATTCTGACTACAGTTTTCTTCTAAAACCGTGACTAAGAGGAGGAAGTGCCAAAAATACTTGTTGCAGGTTTTTGGTACATAGGTTTGCGGTGGCTTTTCTCCCCTGAATGCTACAACTTTCTAGAGCGCTCCAACGACCCGAGGCTGCTGCAGGGGTGCTCTGAGCTTCCGAGGGAGATGTGGGCGAAGAGGCCGGCATTTTCTGGACGCTGAGACGTTTGCAGTTCCCCAGCAAGGCAGGAGGCCGTTGGCTGCAGGAGCCCTGAAGCCCTCCCGCCTCCTCGCCATGGCCAACAGCAGCCTGGCGCTGAGCAGCCTCGACAGCATCTACATCAGCACCGAGTCCTTGATCGCGCTGCTGGCCCTCCTGGGCAACACGCTGGTGATCTGGGTAGTGAAGCTGAACCCGGCCCTTCGCAACGCCACCATGTACTTCATCAGCTCCCTGGCGCTGGCCGACATCGCCATCGGCATCCTCGTCGTGCCCCTGGCCATCGTGGTGAGCCTGGGGATCCACGTCCACTTCTACGCCTGCCTCTTCATGTGCTGCCTCATGATGATTTTCTGCTACGCGTCCGTCCTGTCCCTCCTGGCCATCGCAGTCGACAGGTACCTGCGAGTGAAGCTGCCCATGAGGTGAGACGCGGCACCCCCGCGGCCCTCCCCTGCCCCGGCTGCCTCCAAATGCCTGTTCGTACCCCAAAATACCGACGTACCTGTCTGTAAAACCTGGCCCCGCAGAGCAGGGGCCGCGCACACAAACCCGCCCGCGGCGCAGGTGGCCACAGCTCTTCTTGGGACGCCCGCGGCCAAGGCAATTGCCAACCAGAATTTGGCCACAGGATGCAGCTGTGGTCAAGCCGCTTCAGTCCTCAGGCATCTGGCTCAGCGTGCGGTACGTCCTCAGGGCGGTACAGACTGCTTGGAGTTTCCTTTAGTCATTTAAATATGATTTGTATTTGCCTTGGTGGAAAATAGGGGAGTAACAAAACCTTATAAGGGCTGATGTAAAAAGATGCAAATGGCTTTTTTTCTTTTTCAAAGAAAGGAAAAGTGAATGCAAGGTAGAAACCCAAAGCATAACCTTGAATATGAAAGGGGTTATACCTCTTTAATGCAGAACCTATAGGTTGAAGAGTGAAAAACAATGTGGTTGTACAAGCAGTATAAGTGAAGTAAAAATGATAAAGTACATCCAAGGAAGTTGAGAAATAACAGAGAACTGCTGGAAATACAACACTACTCGGTTAAAAGTCACGGTGAGATCATAACGAAACAAGAAACAAAATAGCTGAAAATAGACAAAAATACAAGAAAAAAAAAGGGGGGAGTTAAGGGTAGTTCAACATATACAGATTCTGCTAAGTAACAGTTGTGAAAAGCGGTTGGGCTCATCTTAGGATTCCTTTTCCCAAGGAAAGGAAGTCAATGCTCCCGTGTGCCCCAGTGAACCCGCAGTATTTGAACCTGTGAGTTCTCAAACATCCCCAACTATTCCCAATGCTTCCGCTTAACATGGCCGGCGTTTTCCTCCCCAACAGATATAAAACGATCTCTACAGAAAGAAGAATTTGGCTGGCACTGGGTGTGTGCTGGTCTGTCTCTCTGCTAGCAGGGTTAGCCCCCATGTTTGGGTGGAACAACAGAAGGCTGGGAAGCGCGGAGCTGCTCAAGTGTCGGTTTGTCTCCGTCATGAAGATGGATTACATGGTCTATTTTGGCTTCTTCATGTGGACCCTTGTGCCCCTGGCCATCATGTGTGCTCTCTACGCTGAAATCTTTTACATGATTCGGACAAAGCTTAGTCAAGGTTCAAACAGCGTGAGAGGGGCAGGAATGTTTTATGGGCAGGAGTTCAGGACAGCCAAATCGCTAGCTCTTGTTCTCCTCCTGTTTGCAATATCCTGGCTGCCCCTGTGCATTATGAACTGTGTTTCCTACTTTTACCCCAAGTGGCCAATCCCCCAGCACTGGATGTACTTGGGAATTCTCTTGTCCCATGCCAATTCTGCCATGAACCCTATTCTCTATGCTTGCAGGATAAGGAAGTTCAAAAACTCATACCTTTTGATTTTAAAAAGTCATATCCTGTGCAAAAAAACAGAGCCAGGTGTTCTTACAGAGCAACCTATGGACTAGCAGCTGCAAGTCAAGACCAAATGCTGAACTGTCAGTGTTATCAGACTGTTGCTAAAAAGCTTTGCTTCACCAAGAAACTCATGGGAAAATACATGTTCTGCTTCATCTGCTGGCTCTTTTAGGCAGTCTGTTTTATGATAAGGGCAAGTTTCTCTTACCCAGTCCGATGCACATTGGACATTAAGCCTAGAAGGATCATTTATGATCTCCTGCACAGCTACACCGCGGATAATTCTGCTCAGCGAGTGCAGTGACAAACCCAGATCTTCCAGGCAAGTCTCTTCATTTCACAGGAGCTGCCCTGGTTGATGCATTGCCTCGAGTGCTCCTCAGTAGGCAGGTGATGCTGAGCACTGACACCGGGCAGAAATATTTTGCCCCTGGTTGCTACCTCAGAGCTGTTTGGCTGGTAAAGCCAACGCTTGAGCACACTGGGCCTTGGTGCCTCTCCTCCCTGCCAGCTGGGAACCCGTCCGTGCTTTGAACCCGGTCCAGGGCTCACCCCGCGCCTGCAAAGCCGACCTCGCTGCTCTGCGAGCGCGAGCGGAGCCGCCTCGTGACGCGCGGCCGCTGCTCGCGAACCGGACACGGGCAGGAGAGGGAAGTCTGCGGCGGGAGGCCATCGCGTCCGGCGCGAAGGACAACGAGAGCTCTGCGTTCCTCTGCGCTCCCGACTCCCCACGCCGGGTAGAACCAGCCATCACTAACCCCCCAAAACGACCTGCTTTCCTCGCTTGTCACTAGGAGCGACCCACAACAGGAGCAACCCCTCCTGCACAACATATTCCTGCACTTACCCCACCCTCTAATCACCATCTGCTTTCCTGACACCCGAGTTAATCATCGTTTGCTGCAAGTGAAGGTCATCTGCTCTCAGCCAAACCTTTGTGAACCTGGTGAAAAGCTTCTCTTTTTGCAACTACCTGTTACAGAACAGAAGACTACTCTGAACTGAATGTGCCACCCATGTGTCTTTATACATATAGTGTATATACACCCATATGCATGTATATCTTTACATTAAATCATTTCAAAAAGGGGAAAAAATGTGGAGAAATGTCTTTAAAACAAAACACTACTCTTCTTTCAACAATCATGCGTGGGTATGCATGAGCCCCCACCACTGCATTAGGAGTTATCCTGCTTAGAAATGCCAGCAAGGATCGACCGCAGCTTGCGCAGTCTGGCTTAGAGAACACGCTGAAAAGAGGCGATTCAAGGCAAGGATTTTTAACAGCATTTTAAATTACAAAAGTGGTCAAGAAAAGCAGAATAGCGGGGTAATTCTGCTTTATCTATCTCAGAAAGTAGTTAGAAGTGTGGTTTTCCGCTCTTTTAAATAATATCAGACATCTCAATGTTCTATCTGGTGTGATAGAACATCAGACTGCCATAGAGGAGAGCTCTGCCCTGGTGCCCCGTTCAACTCTGTTAACAATCATGCCAGTGAAGGAAGCCCCTGCATAAGTACAGCGGAGTTTTGCTCTGTAATCTCTCCTGATCGGCTGATGAAACCTCTTTCAGCAGAGCCCAACCGTGAGAAACTTCCTCCTCGGAGGAGCGAGGCGAGCGCGGCGCCAGCAGCGGCTTCCCCGCGCGCGGCCGGACCACGGCGACGCGACGGAGCGAGGGCAGGGGCTGCCCAGCCCAGCAGGGCCCGACTGACACTTCTAGCCGTGAACCTGGGGACACCCAGACACCAACCCCACAGGTAGGTGTGGGAGACGAGCGAAGCCCCACAGCAGCCGTCCTCGTGCCCGTGGCACTGAGGAAGACCAAAGGATCCAGGATGCTCTGGGGAGGCGACTGACGCACACTCAGTACGGGCCGGGCAAGACGCAGTCCAACAGCCATTTCTGCGTCACCTCGAGTTCTGCTAATACTTTTTAAATCAGATTATCTACTCCAGGATGTCAGGACATCCCTGTCCAGGCTGTGCCAGCTCTCTGCTAACTGGTTGCTGGCAAAGTGAAGCAATAAATGTAAACCGGGTGAAACAGAATTGCCCACCTGTGAGTTTCTGCTGCCATCAAGCGGACGCTTGTCTTCCTTCTAGGGGAGCTTCTCTCAAGTTTGTTACCAGATATCTACTTCTGCTGGAGGGCACAGGAAGCTGCGAGATCCAAGACGTTTCTCCAACCCGAAACATCTCTCTGGAGGCGGTTACAATAACACATCAACAGCCATCTGAACCACTTTCCAGAACCCCATGTGCTCGGGTGCCAGAAACAAGGAGGCACCAGAACCCGAGGGGACGGAGGTGTCACAGGATTGGAGCTGTTGAGGCTCTTCCAGGGGTGTTGCATGATGGACAGAGTCTCGGGTGCCAGAAACAAGGAGGCATCAGAACCCGAGGGGACGGAGGTGTCACGGGATTGGAGCTGTTGAGGCTTTTCCAGGGGTGTTGCATGATGGACAGAGCACTGCACTCCTCAGGTTCTGGACGAGCCAGGCACACATGTATCGACGTGCAAAGCGGCCATGCTCCCCTAGAGCTGCAAAGACCAAATCACCAGAGGTATCTTCTTCCCTATTCTCTAAAAATGGGGCGATTTAAAACTTCTAAAATACTTAGAATGATACAAACCATCATTTCCACAAGTTTTGACTGCCACAATATGATCGTGCATTTCAGCATGTAATGACATGTTAAAGTCGGGAGGTTTTTTCTTGTGACCCACTCAGGAAACAAATTTGCACAAAGATTTTATTATCATCACTTCATTGAGCAGAAAAATTAAACAGAGCAGAGGGCATGTGGCAGTGAAAAAAAGCAAAAAAAAAAAACCCATCCCTCTGTAGCCAGTAACCAGAGGGAAACATGTACAAATGTACATATGCACAAATATGTAAAAATAGAAAAAAAATTCACTTGCTTTAGTTCTGTTCCAAAGCAATAGCAAAAACAAAAAAAAGGAAAGAGCAAGAGTACATTGCAAGAACTCTCAGACATTTCTATAGACGAAGTAATCTATAAGAACTTAATGATTTGTCCACAAGTGTTGGTGAGCAGATGGGAAAGGCGGCATTAACTCTCCCTCGTAACTGCAAAGCTAGCTGATGTTGCGTACTGCAATGCTGGCACCATTCCCTAAAGCACTACATGATTTGATACAACCATTCAGCAGCATCGCACGTGCAGAACATGAAGGCGTCCTCATTTCACCAGAGGCTCCACACATTATGATACAGCCCTCGGGGTCAGACTCTGCTGGAGGACCAGGCTGGCGTAGGTAACCTCATCCTGGGGCTGGGAGACAAAGCGCAAGGATTAGGGAATGCAGAAATACTACATTTCAGCATGAATTTCCCACCTGTAATTGTTTTAGACACCCCAAGCGGTCACAGCCTATCCTTGAGCATGGGACATCTAGTCAATGCCATGCTGGATCAGACAAATTGTCAGGCTAGATGAGGATCCTACAAAATACTAATACTAAGGGCTTCCAAAGAATCATTGTAATGAAGGAAAAAAAGCCAAAGCCTGCCCTTCTAAAAGAAATCCCCCCAGCCCTAATAAATGGTTTGGTGTAGCCATTAAGGGCTTCCAAAGAATCATTTTAATGAAGGAAAAAAAGCCAAAGTCTGCCCTTCTAAAAGAAATCCCCTCCAGCCCTAATAAATGGTTTGGTGTAGCCCTGGAGCCTTGGAGTATGTGGGGAACGTGGCATTTGAGCCCCTGCACAGAGCAAGAACCACTCTCCTTCCCTCTAGCCGCTTCCGCAGGCAGCGCCCAGGACTGCTACAAGCTCAGGCTGATGCGCGAGGTGCCAAAGTAGCATTTTCTGCTGCAGAGGGTAAACAGCCAAAAGACCTGCTGACTAACACTCAGGTGTGCAAGAGCAAGCCTCCTTTCTCACCTCCAAGTTAACATTTACCATTTTCCAAAAAAATGAAATAGCTGCATAAAGCATCAGAAACACGGGAACAGTTTGGACATTTACCTGGCTGTTCCCAGCAAGCGTCCCAGAGACCTTCTGAGGGGGAGTTTGCTCCTGGAAGTTTTCCTGAGGTCTCTTACGCACTAGGAAGGAGACACAGGAATGCTCATGTCAGTCTTATACTTCGGAGAGTGCGCCACAAGAGAAGCATGAAGATGGCACGGCAGAGTGGCACTAGCCAAAGGTGTGTGGCTTGCTCACAGAATATGAGGTATGGATGTTGGGAGACAAGGAGGAATAGAGGAGATTCCGTGGATCACTGGGAGCTGGGTGGAGAAGGCAGCCAACTCACCCCCGTCAGCCCTTCTCTCTATCGCTTCAGTCTGGTATTTATTGAAAAGTCAGCGAGTCTTCAGTCAACACAACGCTTCCCTGCAAGGGCCCTCATCTCAGGGCAAAACAGAACATCTGCTGCCTGTCCCAGCTTCTGACTAGGCTGTTCTAGCTATGGAGCAATTAGTACCCAGGGGGTTAGTCTGTCCTGGAAACAAGACAAATATGGACAAAAAGTCCCCCACGCCGGAGCCACGGTTAGTTCTTCTGTGAACTAAGGGTCTGTGAACAGACCCTTATGAATGTTGTCCTTCGAACCCATTTACTGGGGACAACGCGAAAAGTCACCGACAAGAACGACCATCAAATCTGTAATGATCTACTGAAGCAGCCACAACCCAGCGTACTGCTAAAGGCATAAACACCATGTCAGTTATTTTAAGAGAAACAAGAACTCTATCATAAATCCCCTCTGCCTTAAGATTCAGGAGGAGGAACACAGAAACACAGCACCATGCATAAGATATGCAGCATAATCTCTTTCTTTGCCACCAAGTTTGAATAAACCATCGCCTTGCCTCTGATATTTCCTCTACTGTCTCACTTACTTTTTCTGATGAGGTAGACAACTGCAAAAAGCAGAACACTTGACAGGATTCCACAGATATAGGCTAGCAACATGTAGATTATCTCAGGGCTGTTGATGCACAGAAAAGAGTGTCAGAATCACCATTTTTAAAAGAAATACTAAAGATACTCTAATTTTCATATTCACCAAACATTGTGGAACATAATTCACCATTTATCCCAATCCACGTAAGACAAGAAGGTGTTTATCTGTGTGAAGCCTCAGTGCAAACTAAGCATCTAGTGCACAGACCAGGACATTCCAAGCAACTCTTTAAAACCCTGAGACACAGAACACTGCCCCGAGAGGAGTCTGCCATCTCAAGGCAATCTCAAAGCCCACTTCTGTTTAAAGTCAGGAAATAAAGGTGTAACATTTACTGATCTATAAAGCACTGGACTTCCGCAGCTCGTGAGTCAGCAGTAGAGGTATAGACAGTGCTGTGCACAGTGACGGGAGCAGCAGGCACAGTGGGACGCGCAGTGACCGTAGTAGGGACAGGTGTTCGTGCAGCTAAAAATGAATAGAAGATATAGTTTCTTAAAATGAGTTAATTTATCCATTAATACTGCAAGTCACACACTCTACATAGCCAGAGGCATGTTCCTATTTGTGAATTATTGACATAAGATAGCAAGTAAATGTTAATACTTGCATAACAGCTTTCTATCAGAAAGATGAGAATGAACACACTAAACTGAAAAAAAAATTCTTAGTATTGTTTGACAACAGCCTAGAAAGTCATGCAGCTACGCTGCAATATCCTAAATTCATAGATCTATTGTCACCCCCCAGAAGCCTTTTTTGAGCCAGGACAATGCCAACTTAGTAAAGAACACCGAATCTACACACACTCCTTAACGAAGCAGATACCTGCATGTGATCGTGAGGAGGAAGATCCCATTCTCTCCAAACGCTAATGGGTATGAGAAGCTACAGAGGAAAAAAAGTTTACACACATAAATACACAAAATGGATAAAATAGCACATGCTACAACAAGCTTGCTTCTCTCTAAGTTTTAGAACAGAGCAAAACAAACACCCTCATGTGATCAATGGACTTTCTAGTTTTTATCAACGTTTTTGTATCTTAGCCCTCCTTCTCCCCTCACTTCCCTACTTTACAAGCTATGTGCAAGCCACACAGAAGTTTGCACAAAGCCCACTGAAGTAAACCTGGCAACAAGAATCCTAGTTCCGTAGTCTAGTTCTTGCGTGTGTGCAGGCACATCCACTGCACTTTGGTGAACATGCTGCTGTATCTCAAAAGGAGGGAATACATTAAATGTCCAACTATTATTCTGTCCAACCATTATATCCGACTGTGCTTCTGTGATAGGGAACTCTTAGGTTTACTGTAAAGTTACCCCTATACTCCTCATCTTAAGCCTTTCAAACAGCACATTGCAAACAAAGTGTGCCTAGCAACACCCCAAAATTACACACCTTCTTCTCGCTGTTGCAATCAGCATTTTCCCCTGAATATCACTTGCTAAGTGTTGCTGCCCGCATCCAGAAAGTGAACTTTTTAGAACCTGAGTTGCCGGAGGCAAGTATAAAGCATACTCTTGTAGTAATAAAAGTAATAGCAATGAATGACAAAACCTTTATCTTACCTTGGACCATAAAGGTTGCAGCTCATACAACAGTAGAAAATTTTTGAAGAACAAAAACCGCTTGCTTCGTGAAAAGCACCCCTGGCAAACTAGTCAGAGCTCAAATATCATTCAAACATTGGGTTATACAGATGCGGAAGTTCTGCAACTTCAGTTTCCTTTTTTTTTTTTTTTAAAAGAGGAAATATGAAAACCTCTCTATTTGCAGGAACTGTTGCAAGTTTTTTTTTTTTTTTTTTAAAAAACACTCAACATCAACTTAATACATTACCTTTGAAGGTTGTCTTATTTACGAACTGGAAAATACCCTTTTTGTTGAACTTGTGTATTAAAAGAGTAGTAGTTTACCAACTCCACTAAAACCAGGTATTCTTTTAATGTAAGAGCAATCTATCTAAGAAAGCATCCAAGTGTGCACTGTTTTGCTTAAGTCAAAAAAAAAAATACTAAATAAATCACTTTGAAATGTGCAGAAGATGAGATTGCACGTACTTAAGTGCCTTGCTCTACAGGAACATGCATTTGACGTGTAGCACCATCCTTGAGGGAAAAATAAGTTTTCCAAATAAATTACTAAGTCAGCCCTACAAGTATTATCGTACTTGTCATTAATACTCATTCCTTGCTATGTATGATAAGCAAGCTTTTCCCAGAAAAAATCCTCAGGAGCAAGTTCATTCATTTCATTGTTTTAACTTTTCTACTGGTGACTTTGACTTCAAATGATGCATTCTGCTGGATTTTGCTATATTTTGTGTCCGCAACATCCTCTTTTCCACAGAAAAGGAAGATGATATTTTCCTGACTTGATGTTCTGTTACAGAAGATTTTTGTTTGTTTGAAAAAGCATCTTGATCATCTCTGTATCTTGGATAGCTCACTAAGTGAATGGGAGCATTAGCACTCACTTTTTAAAAACAAAACAAACACACATTAACAATGGTTGTAGGTGTAGGCCATAATCACAGATAACTAAAAACAGTCACTCTTACAGCTGCACAGTGAAAACGATGTTTTCATGACCAAAACAGGAACCATACACGACTGCAGGTGCAATGCTCAAGTAATCCCCTACTTTTTTCTCTCACTACACACTTTTTCTTTGGAGACCAAGCTACCACAAGCACAAAAAGGAAACCAGTGTTACAACTGCAAGTCAAGGTAATAGACTTCTTTAATTATTAGAATCATACAGTTTCCAACAATAAGCCATAGAAAACAAGTCTATGGAACCAGATGTTACGTGGTTACGCTGTCACGTGAGCGCTCTTCGATAACGCTTTCAGGTCTACGATGCACTTTGCAATACTCTCCTTTTGCTGCAAAAGAAAAGAAGACAATACACTTGGCAAAAGATACTTAAACAAGGAAAACATCCACTCTAATGAACTTCAGATTTTCTCTTTGGACTCATTAAATGCAACAGAGATTAAAAGGGATCTTATTATATTTCATGAAGACAGAGATTCAAATCCAGACAGCGGCTTATATTAAAGCATTAACAATTAGTGCTGGGAACACGTGTTTTCTTTTTCTCAGGTTTGTTCTTTAGAAGAAGGAAGTCTACGGTCTACCTGTATATCCTAAACTGCTGAAATCTTGCACAGAGAATTTTACAAGCAACTCCCTTCACCTATGAACTATAAATCTTATTCAAGCTTAGCACTATAGCGGAGGAACAAACAATGTGAATGCTTCTAGCTGTCACCAGCAGCATAAGCACTTGGTAAACATTTACTGGACACGTTAGCTGCTACTCAGCAGCAGAAAAACATCTCAGCTCAAACTGGAAATCACCAAGAGTGCCAGAAACACCGGAAAGCAAGTATTTTTATAGAGTAAAATGTAAAAAACAAATGAAATACCTGCTGAGGTGTGATGCTCTGAACAACATTTTTCTCCACCCACTGAATCATGTGATCTTGTTCCTTCTGACGTTTCAAATGCTGCATAGCCACTTGATAGTCCAACCTCTTCTTTACTTCGTTGTACACGGTCAGCAGCCTTTCTCGGTAGTTGGCTTCTAGCAACATTGCAATATTATTCTACACGCAAAGGATGACAGCAACTGGTTAACATTTGGCAAAATAAAAAACAGCAGAACACAGGTCTGTAACAGAAAACTCTGCACTGGGCAGTAAAGCAGACAAGTCTGCAACATACACCCTGCAAATGTTTTGTTACTTGTTATCGACCCAGTAGAATTATTATAATGAGGAGAACTATAAAAACCAGCAGTAGGGCTAGAGATACCTACCCGCTTGGCATCAAAGAGGTAACTACGGCCCTCAACCCTCCACTGTTCTTTCTTCTCCTCTTCAATTGCAGTCTCAAGACTTTTAATTGCATCGTTCTTCACAGCTAAAGCTGAAGCAACTTTCTCCTGGAAAACAGATATATATTTTATAAATACATGCATACACAATATACACATACATCTAAATATAATGGAGATAAATAACATATATTGTATGTAGTGAATATATGTAATATAACAGATGCTTCAGGATGAATGTAAGATGCAAGGCAAACAAGCAAGCTGCAACCGATTCTCAAAATCCTCCATTACAGTTTGAGAACTGTTTGTGCAAACTGAATTGCATCAGGTTTGAGGTCAAGAACTGGCAAGACAGAAAATATATGGTTTGTAATTGATTTTACTTTTAAAATTATTTCAGTAAGTACTTGTGTTAACATAAACTCTTTTTATTTTCTAAGATTTACATAACAACATTGACAGAGTCTATAAAATGCCTTTCTTAACCACCGTTCCGAAGACATCAAGCACAGATTTTGACCTCAGTATTTTCTAATGCTTTGGTAGCTTACTTAAGAGTTGCCAGTACAAAGTTGACATTTCTGTTCTTACCTCATTAAGTTTGTCAGCAAAAGCTGCTACAACAGGCCCATATTTTTTAACACCATAAATCAAGATTGACAATATGCAGGCACCTGCAACAGTCTCATGGTTAATTACGTAGATTTCTTTAGAAAGTAAGTAAAGCAGGAGACCAGTTCCCAGCATATAAGGTCCTAAAAGAAGAAATGAAACAGCATTAGTGGCATGTGGTGCAAACACTTATTCAAGTCAAACAACTAAAAACGAGGTAGCTTCCAACATCCAACAGGAAAGTCTCATTTACTGCAACCAAGACACGAACTCATCAGCAATGAGAACACAACATCATTGAAATGGAGAGGCAAATTACACCTTCAACGGGATTTACAGCTTCTGCTCAGTCACCAACAAGCAAAACTCTCTCCTTATGGAGTTTCAGAGTCAGCAAGCAAATAAATCCTTTTCTTTCAAGCCCACGCAACACTTTTAACCTTTCTTTAAGGCACACGAAAGAGTAAAATCAAAAGGTTCTAAGTGCCTCAAGAAATAATTTATCCCCTAGAATAAAGCATTTAACAAACGAACTGCTCCTCCTATCACACCAAATTAAGCATCTTGCTTTCTACACAGCCAGGGTGCTCCCCAAAGAAAAGTCAGCCTTTGCTCTAATATTCTGTCTAGTTAGCAGCTACTGTGGACAGTACTACTTGAATTTAAGCAGAAAACAAAGCAAACAAAGAACACGCAAATAAATATATATATTAACCTGTGACTCCTGTTTTAGGGTAGAGAAACTGGAAGAACTCCTCAGGGATCAAACCAAAGCGCACTTGTCCTGGTTTCTCAGGCAGAGGTGGGAGAGGAGCCGAGCACTGCTGACTTGCATGAAAGGTTCTTTTAGCATGCAATATTCTACAAATAATGGGAAAGAATCCATCAAATTTATTGCAAAGAAAGAAAGAAAAAAAGCACCCACCTTCGGTGCTGCTCAAGGGTGTTTTCCAGGACAACCAGCGGCAGGGAGCCCTGGGGAGGGGGTAGATAACCTCCCGGGGTGCCTCCCAGCACCGCTATCCTGGGATTTTCCCTGGAATACAGCGCTACGCTGGCAGCGCCGCGGTTTGGGAACGCGGAGGGCGGGAGGCGCAGCGCGGCCGCGGCCTCCCCGGGGAGGCCAG